TTTATTTTAAAATAGCTTTCGCTCTACACAAGCCAAGCATGTCACATGTGACATTTAAGCATGTGACTAAAATCCAACTTTATATCATAACAATATAACATAAGGTTTGAAATAAAAAACAGAAAGATAAGTGACCGAGTGCCATAGGCTCTCCCATGCATAAGAATCTGAGTGCAAACAAAGGGGGCCCAACGTGAGGGGTCCATGGTGCCACGTGGCCACCCTATGGCCACTCAGGTGCCACATGGCATCCACTTGGACGTCCTTATATTGAAATAAGCCCGAACAATTTTGAAAATCACATTTTTGATGATTTAAAAAATCCAAAAAATTCTCCAAAAATTCCAATAAATATTTAAATCATATTTAAATATTTTTACATCATTTCTCATTAAATAAAATCGAGCAATAGGTATGTGAGATCTCGAGGCTTTAATTCTAGGTATCGAAGAACTCCATTGGGCTAGATCCGAATGATGTTTCCGTTGTGTCTCAAATTGACCCAATGCATCTATACTTCACAGTCTATGATAGGGACACATAATTGGACACATCAAAATCATTGAGGCAGAGCTTCCCATCATCAGGTTCTCAATGCATTACAGACGTACCCTTGCGGGACATATTCCTACTTAAATATAAAGGTCCTCTCAAATCACATGTGCACTGGGTCTTCTAAGTCGGATAAAACTTAAGAGAGTGGCTTCCCTTGTGAATGAAAGCGCACATGTCATGGAATGGTCTCGTATCAGTTTACAGACTCATGTCCCATGAGTCTTGACCATCCCATATAGGGCCAACGCTCAACAAACACTCGGGCTCTATACTACTCGATTGGATTCTCCAAGCCCTGGTTAATCACAATTCATCGTGAGATATTCTAAATGAAATTCCTGACTAGAGAATCTGGGCCCCAGTTTGCAAAGTTCCCAGGTTCTATCTCTCACTCACTCCCACTAAGCAAAAGAGTCTTGGCATTAAGGCCTTGAAAGGCCATATTGCCAACATCAACTTATATTGTGGCAGAGGCTAATGCTGAGACCGATGCTTTAGACAAGGAAATGCCTCCATCTCAAGGCCCCCGCTGATTTCTTGACTTTTTTGTGTTTCAATTTTGGATTGATTGTGATTGCCTCACCCTCGCTTCTCACCTCTCCTCTCTTCTTAGTCCTCTCTCTTACAGCTTTCTCGCTCTATCTCCCTCCGCACCCGCCCTTCTCTTTCCTTCCTTTATCTTCTTTCTTGTAGCTATAACCCTACAAAGCTAGAGTTTCAGGACACCGCAGCTAATTAATTCTTAGCATCTGGTCTGTAGGTTGCTTTGTCTTCAGTAGAGGAGCACCCGATCTGTGGGTGGCCACCATTCTTTTTTGTTAGTTGCACTCTATTTCGATTTCTTTTTATACTTGTATATTTTTGTATAATGTACACTTCAAAGTGGGTTGCCTCCTCATAAGTGACCTTAACCCCGCTTTCTTCTTTCGCCCCCTTTTAATCTCTATCTTGAAACACCTCTCCCTTTTTCTTACCCTTTCTCAATATCTTAAACCACTTCCTATCTAAGTTCTACCTAAAAACCTCAATCTCTCCATATCCTTCCTTTTTTTCGCTCCTACCCGTCCTCTTGTCTCTTCTTGTTTATACTAGACATTTTTGGTATTAGAGTACCCGGTCAGTAGGCTGTCTTTACCTCATTTCTCATGAGAAATTTTTGCACTCTATTTAATTTAGTAATATATTGTCACCATCTGGAGAAAAAAAAAAAAATGAGGTCAAGGTAGAGGTGAACAATAAATTATATTACTAAACATGCCAAGTAACTTAATTTATAATGTGTTACACTATTTCGCATTAACCATGGCATACTAGTATAGCTATTAAAATTCTAAGCTTGTGAAATAATATACAATACTTTTTAATTGATTTTAAAATTTGATCAGTCTGACTAGTCAACCGGCCCAACCAAACCAATGCCTCACCATTCCATGGCTAGCCCAATCCTAACGACAGTAGTTCTCAATATTACGTCATCAAAGCGGATAATTTATCTCTTCAAACTTATGTATACATATTACTATCTACAAGATGCTCCAAGAATGCAATCCTGTGCTCCCAAAGTGGGATCACGGTCCTATTGCGATCGCATGTTGGGGGAGTGAAAGGCCAAGCCAATAGGCATCAGTCAACAGGTTAACAAACTCATATTCTTTATATGTTTAAAGGAAAAGAAGCAATAAATGCATCGCAATTAAAAAAGAAAGCAATAAAAGAATATCCTTTAAAAAAAAAGAAAAGAGAGAGCATTAATTGCAAAACAATAACAAAAGAAAGCAATAATTATGCAAATCCATGTTCTATAAATTTTCAATGTAAAAGAGATTCTTAAATTAGCATCAATCACAAAGGCTTCTGAATTTAATGCTCCAAAAATAGCATTTAATGTAGGGAATGAAGGGTCCAACATTTGTCAATAATGGTTCTTCAATTTTGAACCGTCACTTTAAAAAGTGTACACGAGAGAGGATTATCTCTCTCTCTCTTCTACTCT